TATAAAGTACGAATTCACCGCTGTCAACAAGCGTAATAGATCGTTTTCTGTGACAATATTTATGATTGTAAAGATTAGACTAACTGCAAGAATGTCCTCATAAATAAATTGACGATTTAACGGAATATTGAAAAGTTGTCAAAAAAGAACAATTGCGGCGTTAACAAAATTCGTAATAAAATTGCTAGAACAAATAAATAATTGAAATTATGCCTAAATAAAACAAAAATTCAACAATTCGTAAAATTCATCGGCAAAATATAAAGAAATGAAAGCAATTTATAAGTAAAGTAAACGAAGAAGGAAGTATGCATAAAATGCTAATGAAATTTTAAAACATACAGTAAATATAATTGAAAACAAATACAAAAAAGATAACAAAATATAAGAAAGAGTTAGTGATAAAAACATTCTGTGGATAAAGTTAAGTAAAAGTAATCGAAAATTTTTAAACAGTAAAGCTAAAGAGAAAAATGGAATAAGTAAAAAGAATAAATTAAAGCATACATTGAGAACAGAGTTAATAAAAATGGATGTGATATGTATAAATTAATAATTAATTAAAGTATTAGAATACTTTCTTAGTGCATACAATTAAAAAAAACAATTAATAAGTTGGTAAGAAAGATATGCGATGATAAATAAGGGCAACGGGATGCAATAAAATTCTAACAAAATGGAAAAAAATCTGTAAAATAGGAACAAAAAATTATAGTGATACAGGTAAACGAATGCGGACTCTATTACAGGTGAACAACTGCAATGGCCTATAATATTATTAGTGAATAAGATATCTCTAAATAATCTATGTATCTATATTAACAAAAGAAAGATGTAATTAGCAAAATTAACAAAAAAGCATACAGTAATGAAAGTGAGGGAACTGTATTATTGGAAGCGAAATGTGTGCAAAGATTAAAATTAATAAGAAAAGCAAGCAAAAAATAAAAGAAGTAATATCAAAGTGATGAAGAAAGTTATCAAAAAAATTTTGATTATCGCATAGAATCCAATATTATCTTAGAAATAAGATCAAATGAAATTAGAAATAAGCAAGAGAATGAAAAATTAAGAAATAGAAAGAATTTTTGACAAACTCGTGGTACTTTCGAAATTGCAAACCGACTTGTTCATTAGTAGAGCGAGGAAGAATTCGAATTTTAAAATTTGTTGTGAAGCCATTAATCCAAAACACATATTACAACATGAAAATTAGCAGAAGAATAGAAAATAATTAAACGAAAATTCAACATTTTGGATTAGTAAATAGTTAAGTGAGTTACCTGCGCGTAAATAAGCATCGATGCTAAAGCGATGTGATAACACTAATTGATAGAAGCTTTACCCCTTGGCTCAAGCTTTACCCCGATCGCAAATTTCGATTAGAGGTATTGGTAAAGGCTTGGTCAAAGCGATACACTTTAAAAATGTCAAGATTGTTGGGAAGAATAAATTAATAACGAAGTAAATTGTTAAAACAGTGGTTTTTAGTAATGTTTATCATAACTTACAAAACAAATCTCACCAATCAGAGATATAAAAGTGTTGCGTCTCTTTACGTCTCTTCACTAACTCGAGGCTCTTCCGCTTTATAGCTTTTCAGTTACTATAGCTTTCATAGCCTTGGGGCACCATTTCAAAGTATAGAAATAAATGTAAGCACTTATAAGCATGGAGCTCCATTGTGGCTGTCACCGCTTCAGCGAAAGCAGCAATTAGCATGCTAACAAAGTGGTTACACTTATAAAGAGAATCATGAAATAGATATATTTTATTAAAACTATAAGGTTTTTTTCTTACGTATGAATTATCTTTACTTCTCATAGAAAGTCCTGAAAATTTTATCAAATGTTTATGGTACCAAATTTACCATTCTGAGAGAACATTCTAGTAGTATTGATCTGCCATCCTTTAAAGCATTGCAATCTGAAAATGCGACAAGTTTTAAAATTTGTTTCATGCATATTCAACTAAATCCATTTCAAATTTTTGCCAGACTTTCAAACACTACCTAAAATTTTATTAGCATGCATATAAATTTTATCAATTGTGTCCGTACGCCTGAAACATTGATAACCAAAAATTTTCATAATGTTTGGTACCAGATTTAAGCGAACAACACTTTTTGCTAAATATGCATAGCTGGAAATGAAACTAGTCCTATTTCATGAGTTCCTACTACTTCTGTGCGTTCCGCAACTATCTTAACGTTTTTTTGCCACCTCGACATCCTTCTCATTGTAAACGGTTTATGTGACATCTAATAGAACTCTGCATCCCTTTCTCTTTTAAAGTTCCTTCGTTTTTAACCACTACTGACACTTTCTCTATCTCTTCAAATTTTTCCTGTCCCTCTTGTTGGTGGAATTTGACGATGTAAATCTCGTTCTAGATCTTGCTCACGCTGTACGAACTCCTGCAACGATTTGAATTGTTTCCGAGGTAGTGGAAGACTTATGCGACGCAACATGTCTCTTCTTGGGACCTCTACTCTTTCTCCATCAACTGATGTTGCAGTGTTGATCTTCGGCCTTCAATCTAAAAAATGAATATCAGTCATTTTGATTAATACCTGTATTTTAATGAAATTTTTAATCCTCATAAGTTTGCGTATTTCGTAAATAATTCTCCAACAGCAGGTAAAGCAAGCAGACAATTCTTCGCATCTGATAAAGTTGCAGATTTGGGCCTTCTGTTCTTCCAGAATCTAATTACTGAAAAATAATTGAAGTGTTTAAAATAATTAAAATGAAATTAAGACAAAATTTTTTTACCATGCAGCACTTTGTTCGAAACAAAAATAGCAATGGAAGTTAAATGTTGAACCCTTTATATGCTGCATAGAACGATTAGATGTTGTGCGAATTAATAAATAGCGATCTTTGAATGATACTTAAGTTATCTCATATTTTAAAAGACAATTTCGAGGGGGAATATCAATACAATCAGTTTGGCTAAGTGAAGCCAAAAAAGTAACTTACTTTTTCGATTGATCTCAATAATGGAACTGATAGGAAAGTAATAAGATCATTCAGAATAGTATCATCATTTTATACAATGGAATAAAAATGATGGCTTTGAATTTGCGCAGTGATTTTATTTTGAAATTAATTATTTGAAGTGGTTAAAAGCAAAATGAATGTTGGATAGATTTTTCATTTCAAAATCTTTGAAAACTCATTTTTTTTATTCTTATAAATTTATGGATAGATAGGTTAATGTTTCTAAAGCTCAGTTTCAAATGAGAGATTGAACTATCATCGTTTTTTTTAGTAATAAAAAGAATTGAATAGCAGACATATTTCATAGAAATTTTTTACAAAGATTAGCTAAATTATTTGGCTCAACTGCAGGAGCAGCTGAATTACTGCAATATATCACATTCATTTGATTTAAAAATATAATGATAAAAACAGCTCGATTATTTCGTATTAGAAAGATTATCCCGAAAAGTATGATGTATGATGTTATTCTTCAAAATGTTTCTTTTAATTCATAAGTTTACGATTAATAATTTCATTATTCTTATCGTCATTACTCATTATCACTCAACTGTATATTTCCATGCCTATAGAATTCACGAATATTTATGGAACGAACTAATATTGAACATACATTTTACAACATACATAAATTTTAAGGTCTCAGAACATTAACGTTGCATAGCAAACCTTTTGACTGTCGCATTTATTTTTTTTGCAGGAAACGTCACGGATAGGCCTCGTTTCTTAATTTAGGTTTTGCTTACTGATTCTAATACAAATTTAGCCCAAATCGAGTAAAAAAATCTCTCCAAAATTGTTTAATGCATTTTGCACATATTCCATAGAACCAGGTATTATTATTCGAATCAGGTATTATTAATTCAATTAGAGTCACTAAAAGGTGAAATATTCATTTGATCATTCAAACAATTAATGACGATAGTCTAAAAAAGGTAGCAGAATTTTTGGATAGGTAAAATTACGATTCCGTTATTACAGTAATTCTTACTTTTAAAAGTTAAATGAATAAGGATTGAAATATGTTTTTGCATCAAAAATTATTTATTACAGCATAGTTTTTGAATTTAAAAAATCTCTCAAAACATCTTTTAATTTATTTCGACCCTTATTCCATCCTTCCTGCATGCTATCATCATTATCCATAAATTATTAATTATAATAATTATAATAGTAATTTTAAAATAATAATTATGAGAATCCTAGCATTTTGAGTGCAAGAAGTCTTTCAATATTTCTTTTGTTTCTTGAACGTTCTCCTTTGTGAAATTTATTCGAAGGAAGCAACTTTTATTTATCTGATGCGAGATGCGACTGTTGTCTATGTTCTATTTTCTTGAATTTTGCTTTTCTGTCTTAGTAAAGCTGAGATTTTTGGTTTTTGCATAATTCAACAATTAGCATAGATTGTTATAACAGGTTATTGTAATTAGCTGTCAAGCAATTTCTGTCAAGTAACAAAAACAAAAAGCCAAATACATCACAATGCATGATATCTTTTGTATGTTTTAATAATTGCAGACATTCGTAAACATTTTAATGGATTTAACTGACAAGAAATTTCTCAAATAAATTTGATAGTCTTTTCTACATATTTCAAGAAAATCAAGATTGAAAGGCAAGCGCAATTAAAGAACTCTCCCTATAATTGCACTTATATTGTTGCGCAGGTTGCTATTGTACTGCTGCGCCCTTTGCATATCACAGATCATTCTTTTCGGTCAGTTTTAAACGACATTTCTTTCACAGATGGTCATAACAAATGCACCTTCTCTGACCTGTCCAATATATTCACGTAAGAGTCTTTACGAGACGCAACAAATTTCTCAAATTGTATTCCATAAAGCAATAACATTTGTATTCTCTTGCTTTGAAATATCAGCTGACAGATTGCTTTGCAATCGATTTAGATGCCAACCATTGATTAACTCTCATTTCGTGAATGACCGCAATGAGACACGAAATCTGTGAAATGATGGAAGGGTGCCAATAAACCGAATGGATTCGAAAAGTACCGCAGTGCCATTCCGTCCATTTTTTCATTATGAAATGCGTAATTTTTCTCGACGTATTTATGTGAGTGAATGAGAAAGTGTGCCTGCCCATATATTTATGGCATTGTTCGATTATTCGTTTTCAGAAAATTAATAACCGAACAATAACATAAATACATGGACAGGTACAACTTTCCTTCCGATAACAACATATAGCGCACACTATGGAGTTACACAGAAGACATACATACCTTTGATTAAAAGTTTTCCGGAAAAATATATCAGGTAATGTGCATAACAGAAACCTCCTTTCTATAAAAATCATTTAGCCAATTGCCATTTTCATATCGTAATGTTTGTCTTCCACCCTCCACTTTCCTCTTTTTTTTTTCCATTTAGACCACTAAGTAAACAAAGCAGGTGATGATAAGGCGTTGGCAATAAAGGATGGATTGTTGCTACTTTTGTTATTGTTCGGTGTGACAGCAGTAGTTCACCGTCGAGGATCCACAGATATGGAACCTGAGATATACGTACCCCGTGATCAGGATATTATATTGGGAGGATGGCAAGAACGCAATCCGGAAGACAACGAAATACTGGTTATTATTGCTCTTTTTTTTCCGCTTGATTCCCATTCATCGAAGCATTAACAGCTTCAGCATATCTTGCAAAAATTATTCTTTGTATCATTCCCTTTTCACTAATCCATCTTTAACATATTCATACAAATCTTATTCATATTATATTAATTTATGAGATATTTTTGATGTCACTTGTAAATCACATGGATGAAATGAAATTTTGAACGNGAAGACAACGAAATACTGGTTATTATTGCTCTTTTTTTTCCGCTTGATTCCCATTCATCGAAGCATTAACAGCTTCAGCATATCTTGCAAAAATTATTCTTTGTATCATTCCCTTTTCACTAATCCATCTTTAACATATTCATACAAATCTTATTCATATTATATTAATTTATGAGATATTTTTGATGTCACTTGTAAATCACATGGATGAAATGAAATTTTGAACGTAAAAAATATGTAATATTGCGATTGATTTGTTCTTTATAGATTTCACTAAATGGAATGGAGAAAAAGGTGTAAGTCGGAGATTGAATAACATTTGTACCTTTCTATCTACCGAAAGTTTTGAATTTTGAAATGGCAAGAAATTTTTTAACAATTTCCTCTCTTCTTTTTGTGTATGTAAATTAATATTTGCAGAACCTATTGCCAAGCGTATTAAGTAAAGTAAATCAACAATCAAATGATGAGTATCATTTAATGCCAATCAAATTATTGAAAGTTTCATCGCAAGTTGTCGCTGGTGTGAAATACAAAATGGAAGTGCAAGTTGCTCGATCAGAATGTAAAAAAGTATGTTTGTAAAGCCTATTCCTGAAATTACAATTGTCTCCAACATTTCAGACGAAAGAAGTAGGAGAAATGTGAAGCAGAACGAACGAGGAGAGGTAAAGTAAAAGGAAGGACAGTTCTGTAAATGTAAGATAATAAAACTCGAAATGCTTATTCAATGACTCTTTGAATGTTCCTTTAGCAATTAAATTTTCAGAGCTCAAACAAGGAAGTTAATCTGAAAGCGTGTAAAAGATTAGAAGGATACCCAGATCAGGTTTGTTGCATGTAGTTCAGATTGTTGATATTCAATATCCCGAGACATAATAAGAGAGCTTGCGTTGGAAAACTTAGTTTGGATAAATATGCGATGGTTGGGTGCTAAAATAAGACAGGATTATATGGGTTTACTAGAATGAATACTTTTCAAAATTCGCTGTCACTGTACAAACAAAACAAAAGTTACTCATCACATCGTTTGTTGAAATAAAATTAATATTTTTCATTGAGTTTGTAATGACGATCTGTTGAAGTGCTCACTGGAAATAATGCAAATGAAGACATTTAATTTAAAAGTTAGAGATTTTGAGGACGTAAGCAGTCAACAAGAATGCTTACGAATATGATATGCTTGTTTGTATGTGTTGGAATGCAGTTTCAATACATATTTTTGACGGAATATTTTAACCAATGCTTGTTGTGAATTTTTATTTTGTTTTGGGAGAGCTTTGAGTTGGCATTTTTAATGGAATATTTGGTAAAAGTTAATTTCTTTGGGTAATTAACCTTCACCAAATATTCTTCTTGGATGTTATGAGTGACAGATTTGATCATTCTATAGATTTTTATTATTCGTTGATCCGAAAGAATATATTTTGGAACTGTTTATTGAACTAATGATTCCAAATAAATTATTTAGATGTAGATAGTAGTAGTAAAACACTTCGTGATACTTTTATTGGCAAGTATAATATAACAAGATATAACGCTAACAAAACGTAACGTTGACGGAAAGCATTCTCCTTTTTCCCCTTTTTAACGATATGTATATTTAGGTTTTACTTTTCATATTCGTTGTGTTACTTATTTCTAACTTCAAATCCTTTTCAGATTATCACGTTGGAGGTATGGGAGAAACCGTGGGAAAATTTTTTGCGCGTCAATATCCTGGAAACAAAGTCAGTCTCATAGATGTGATCATTTTTGCCAGTTCCACTTTATGTCATTATTCTCAGTGCTTTGCTTCTGATTTTGGGTGCCTAAGGTGGTTTTTACTACATTGTATAATTTTATAAAAATTAAATTGATCTTTAAACTGATATAAAATATTTGATGCTTAGACTATTAGAGGGCATGTATATGGTTATGACTGAGTAATTTTAAACAATAAAACGATTCTCGATTCCCATAACTGATCGTTCTTTACTCATACTTGCTTTCATTACGAGATATGTTCTAATTTCATGTTTGTATAATCATTTGTTTCTTAAAGTTAGATTGGGAAGAAGTGGAACAGGTAGGGCTAAAACATTATATAAGTATGGGGTTGCATAGCCCTGCAAGGTTATTTCATGCAGAACAGTGTAATCCATTGACAAGAAATTTAAGACCCATTGTACTTAGATGTCGAAATTTATTTCTGAAAGAACGCATGCTAGATAGAGAGCGTTGCGAAAATTGCAAATTTTTGGTTTGGTAAAATATCTTTGAAATTTTTGGGAGCTGCTTAGGTTTACTCCGCGTTGCACACACACTAGCATTTATTATTCGCGGTAAAAAGAATAATATCATGTGGTATTTGTTTGAACAAGAATTATAAAAATGGTGGAATTCATTCAGTATCACACCAATTCTAGGGATCACAACAGTAAACAGAAGGTTATAATTCAATCGTTCAGCGAAAGATAGAAAGGTAAATAAATGAATAATGAGCAAAAAAGGAACAGCTGCACAAAAGCAGTCTTTATCTATTACAATTGAAAAATTCGAAAATACTATTTATCCTATTAACAATTGTGCTTTCAATCAGAAACCTAACAGTGTGATTTTTTGCCTGCGAAAGTGGTATGAATCAGATCGTTTCAGAATTATTTTATCTTGCTGAGTTGTCTACAATGTTATCATATTATTCCCCGAAATACGGACATTGTGGAATGACCAGAAATGACCATACATAGTCGGGTCAGGTTTAAAATAAAAATGAAACGTTGCGAATACTTTCGCATTTATGTAAATTTAAGAACATGATCACTTTTCAATTGATCCTATGTCATAAAATGTACTGAAACACTTGAAAAGAAGCATAATCATAGGTGCATCTCAATATCCCCACAAGGTCTTTTGCTTTCTTTCCGATCTTTGAAATTTTTCCTTCTATTGGATAAATTTAATAAATGCACGCCACTTGAATTAAAAATAAAGTGAAGTAAACCGAAAAGGTAAAAGAATTTCATTACCTGAATAAAATGAGTAACAGGAAAGTGCTGCAATATGATAGTTTATTTGTTAAAATTTTAATGTTGAAATTCTATGATTCATTTAATTTTAATTTTTCTGATTGCTTACTTCATTTTCTCTTTCTTATAATTAAAAAAGAAAGTCAAGGAAGAAGATATCTATTGAGTAACAGATGTGAAAATGTATTCAATGATGAAAAATTAATTGAATTAGTTTTGTTAATTTTATATTTTGGAATGAATACAATTGAGGCAGTAAACAGTTATGATCTATCTGTATACAAACAAATTGTGCTTTTCCTCACATAATAATTTAATAACTTTTGAAAAACGAACATTCTAATATTTCAAACAGAAATTCAACAATTTTTAAAAAATCTGGACAAGAAATAATAAATTAATTTGGAAAAGAAAACAATAAAAATATCGCCCATAATTTTTAAAGTTTAATCATTTCTAACTGATATTTCCTTCCTAAATATCATTTCAATTTTCAAATATTTAAATACCTTTATTTACAATTGTTGACACCTCATGTAATCAGCTTTTCGAAATAAAAAAAAAAGTGAACCTTTCAAATCAAAACATCAAGTGACCATATATTTATAAAAGATATTTGATCATACGCGTTTTGTCAACTGAATGATTCATCTCAATGACAATTATATGACGCTTAACAATTCTGTTTGAAAATACTTTTTTCAGTGTTTATTTTTGAAAAAGTCTTTTACCCGATGTTGCCACTCATTCCTAACTTAAAAGTGTTGCTGCAAGTATGTTTACATGCAAAAATAAAAATAGTTCATTCCTTTCAAATTTATTTTCAACCAAAAATTAATCTATTCATGTATGAATGATATTAACTATTCATGCATGATATTTGAAAAAATTGGTTAAAAGATATTGAGTGAGTGAATTTCATCAAACTGGTAAGAAGAAAAGAAAAGAATTTGATAAGAGAGCTGTGTAAAATGAGAATGATTTTAGGAATTGAAAGGGAATAATAAAATTAAGTAATATTTAAAAAGAAAGAATTGAAGAATTAACAAAACTTCTGAAATGTTTACACTTTTAGTTTATTTAAGAGTTGAAAAACGATTTTATTTGATAATTAAAATTATAATTACTGTCAAAGAAAAACAAAGAGCATTTATGTTGAAAAATTAAAATAAAATTGATGAAATGAAAGAGTTCTGGAGAGAATGAATATAATTATAATTTTGTTAATTGAAATGAGCTTCCTTTTTTTGTCTCATATAATTGGAGTATATAATATCGTTAATATTGAAATAGCGAATAACATTCCTTTCAACAACTGAATGCTTTTTTAATTACTTCATTTATTTTTAATTGTATATGTTAATCTTATCGGCCAAAATAAACATCAAAATTAATTTTTATTTGTTCTATAAAATTAATTTTATTTAATGTAAGTTTTTTCCTTTAATTCTCAATAATTAAAATTCTTAGTTTGAATATTTTCCTAATATTTATAACTAATATTTATGGGAATAATTACAAAATGCCGAAGCTATAAAGTCATATGACAGTATTAATTATGTTTGGAATAATATTTAAATTAGCATACAAAAAGTTCGAAATTTCTTCCCCTTATGATAAAATTATTTCTGTAGAAATGATTTGAAACGAAAACTATCTTCTAAAAAAAGATTGGCATAAATCATTTATCAATAATCTATGGCGACGATAATATTGTTTGAATAAATGAAATGGATTGTAATATGAAATAAATTACTAATTTACATTTCAGTATGCAATTTCATATATTGCAGGTATTTATGCCTTTAAATACTATTATCAATGAATGAAAATAGCATTGAAAGAAGGCAAATTGGGTGTAACGATTTGGATCAGTCAGATGGTTTAAAATAAAATGTAATAATTGGTTTGTTAAGCGATGAAAATTATCGTTGTTGTTGTTGTTGTTGTTGTTGTTGTTACCAAATTATAAAATGCTAAAAATATTTAATTTGCTTTTGGATTATTTATGCTTAGAAATTGAGTTAGATAAATAATATAAAGAATGATTTTATTATCGTTTTCTCTTTTTCTTCAGTAAATATTATAAAGTAATTTTTTATTGCATATTTTTTTAATGAAAAATTTCTTATTTCTAACTTATTCTTTCACAGATTTTAACAGTTCATTTCACATAATCAATAAAAATATCAATGTTCTTCTCTTCTCTTCTGATTCCCTCCATGTTTTTTCGTAATAGTAATATCTAATTCGTCTTTCTGAATCCGGCTTATTAATGGTTCGGACTTTTTTAATTTGACCGATATTAATTTTTAGAATAGAAATATAAGCTTATGCACATCAGAGCATTTGATAAAATACAGTTAAAACTGAAATTTATGCACTTCGGAGCATTTGACAAAATATTGTTAGAACTAAAATTTCGGATATTCAAAATTGGTCGTAACTTGGTAGGACAGTTAATTTGATCGGTAGATCATAAATATACTAAAATGGAACTGCTTAGTTATTAAGAACTTATCTAAACTTCAAGTCTAGATGGATCTCTTGAAAATGGTATGATTCATCTGTTATAAGCTATCGGTGGGTCGAATTTTCGGTAATCTAATAAACTATAAGATTTTTTTATTCTGCTAAAAGTTTCCAGAAATGTTTAGTAATTTTGATTTCAAATAATTATTGCAACTTTTTCGCATTTGTTAAGTTTTAATCAAACTTTTTTAAACATTAGTTTTTAAAAATTTTGCAAATGCCAAATAAAGTATAATATTTTAACAGTTGGCATAACTTTCATGAAACTAACTACTGAAATATTTTAATGAGTTCAACTTATTAATTGAATAAGTTACTTATTAAAATTCGCTCGGTAAATAAACAATATCTCTCAATTACTTGGAAACAGAATGAATCTTATTCACCTTCAATTCCAAGAAGCACACAAATTGAATCACAAATCATAAATGGAATCAAGTTACCGTATCCAACGATTGCTTGCTTACATTACAGTTATTTTTTTCGGATCATTGCTATGTTTAGACTTTTAAGTTTATAATAGAGTTTGGCAGGAATAGTTACAACTAAAGAGAGTAATGGCAGATTAGCGTATGAAATTTTATCCGAGAAGTCGCAATGCCCCATTATTAAATTATCGATTGAAAAATCCATAAAAAGCAGCATTGATATATGAAAGTTTTCTTCAGAAACTTCTGAAAGAAGATTGATCAAAACAGACCCGATTTGCTAGAATCGCAAGATTGTGATTTTTGAAGAGAAATTTTTGCATACTAACTCTTTATGCATAGAAGTTTTTTGTCATTGAAAGATATTTTTCACCATTCTTTAAGCAGTTAAATTGAAATTAGGATTTGCTATTTGCATTAGTATATTTTGCTGTTAAAAGGCCATCTCAAAGGTACTATTATTAACCTATTTAACAATTTAATAGTAAGCACTGATAACTTAGCTAACTAAAGAGTGAAAGTGCTTTTTTTTCATTTCGAAATATGTTTTCGTTTGAAATAATTATTGCCAAATCACATGTTTACAAAGTATTGCACACTTCTCTCATTTCTTCCTTTTTATTTCTTAAATCAATAGAAATATAGAAATAGACGACTCTTTCTTACAGACTTACAACTCTTAGCGAAAGTATCGCACCAAATTTCCCCGATAATAACGCTGCCAAATTAAACTGACAAGAAATTTCGTAATAAATTCTGTACCTAAAACATGTTAACGGAGGAGATTTTATAAGACGCCACAAATCACACACATTGAATGGACAACATTCGTATTCTATTGCTTGGAAGTGTCAGCTGACAGATTGTATCGCAGTCGAATTAGATGCCAGCCATTGATTAACTCTCATCTAGCACATGTTTTCGGATAACATTCCTTAGTTTAGGACTCCCTTCGTGAACGACCTGCAATGAGGAACGGAATCTATGAAATGATAGAAGGGTGCCAACAAACCGAATGGATTCGGAAAGTACCGCAGTGCCATTCCGCTTATTTTTTTATTACGAAATGCGTAATTTTTCTCGAAATATTTATGTGAGTGAATGAGTATGTGTTTTTATGTCATTGTTCGATTATTCGTTTTCAGAAACGACACAGAACGCTAATCGCATCGAATCCTTCCAATCACAGCACTTGATGTGTATTATGGAGTTAAACAGAAAGAATGCCTTCGATTTAATGCAAAAACCTTCCGGAAAAATATATCGCAAAATCTATAAAAAATATAATGTGCACAATAGAAATTGACCATTTGTTCCTTTCTATAAAAATCATTTAGCCATTTGCTATTTTCATTTCGTAATATTTGACTTCCACCCTCCTCTTTCCTCTTTTCTTTCCATTTAGACCATTAAATAAACAAACCGGGCGACGATATGATATTGGCAGCAAAAGACGGATTGTTGATGTTATTTTTGTTATTGTCCGGTGTAACAGCAGTAGTCCACCGTCGAGGATCCACGGATATGCAACCTGAGATATACGTACCCCGTGATCAGGATATTATATTGGGAGGATGGCAAGAACGCAATCCAGAAGACAACGAAATACTGGTTATTATTGCTCTTTTTTTTCCGCTTGATTCCCATTCATCGAAGCATTAACAGCTTCAGCATATCTTGCAAAAATTATTCTTTGTATCATTCCCTTTTCACTAATCCATCTTTAACATATTCATACAAATCTTATTCATATTATATTAATTTATGAGATATTTTTGATGTCACTTGTAAATCACATGGATGAAATGAAATTTTGAACGTAAAAAATATGTAATATTGCGATTGATTTGTTCTTTATAGATTTCACTAAATGGAATGGAGAAAAAGGTGTAAGTCGGAGATTGAATAACATTTGTACCTTTCTATCTACCGAAAGTTTTGAATTTTGAAATGGCAAGAAATTTTTTAACAATTTCCTCTCTTCTTTTTGTGTATGTAAATTAATATTTGCAGAACCTATTGCCAAGCGTATTAAGTAAAGTAAATCAACAATCAAATGATGAGTATCATTTAATGCCAATCAAATTATTGAAAGTTTCATCGCAAGTTGTCGCTGGTGTGAAATACAAAATGGAAGTGCAAGTTGCTCGATCAGAATGTAAAAAAGTATGTTTGTAAAGCCTATTCCTGAAATTACAATTGTCTCCAACATTTCAGACGAAAGAAGTAGGAGAAATGTGAAGCAGAACGAACGAGGAGAGGTAAAGTAAAAGGAAGGACAGTTCTGTAAATGTAAGATAATAAAACTCGAAATGCTTATTCAATGACTCTTTGAATGTTCCTTTAGCAATTAAATTTTCAGAGCTCAAACAAGGAAGTTAATCTGAAAGCGTGTAAAAGATTAGAAGGATACCCAGATCAGGTTTGTTGCATGTAGTTCAGATTGTTGATATTCAATATCCCGAGACATAATAAGAGAGCTTGCGTTGGAAAACTTAGTTTGGATAAATATGCGATGGTTGGGTGCTAAAATAAGACAGGATTATATGGGTTTACTAGAATGAATACTTTTCAAAATTCGCTGTCACTGTACAAACAAAACAAAAGTTACTCATCACATCGTTTGTTGAAATAAAATTAATATTTTTCATTGAGTTTGTAATGACGATCTGTTGAAGTGCTCACTGGAAATAATGCAAATGAAGACATTTAATTTAAAAGTTAGAGATTTTGAGGACGTAAGCAGTCAACAAGAATGCTTACGAATATGATATGCTTGTTTGTATGTGTTGGAATGCAGTTTCAATACATATTTTTGACGGAATATTTTAACCAATGCTTGTTGTGAATTTTTATTTTGTTTTGGGAGAGCTTTGAGTTGGCATTTTTAATGGAATATTTGGTAAAAGTTAATTTCTTTGGGTAATTAACCTTCACCAAATATTCTTCTTGGATGTTATGAGTGACAGATTTGATCATTCTATAGATTTTTATTATTCGTTGATCCGAAAGAATATATTTTGGAACTGTTTATTGAACTAATGATTCCAAATAAATTATTTAGATGTAGATAGTAGTAGTAAAACACTTCGTGATACTTTTATTGGCAAGTATAATATAACAAGATATAACGCTAACAAAACGTAACGTTGACGGAAAGCATTCTCCTTTTTCCCCTTTTTAACGATATGTATATTTAGGTTTTACTTTTCATATTCGTTGTGTTACTTATTTCTAACTTCAAATCCTTTTCAGATTATCACGTTGGAGGTATGGGAGAAACCGTGGGAAAATTTTTTGCGCGTCAATATCCTGGAAACAAAGTCACTCTCATAGATGTGATCATGTTTGCCAGTTCCATTTTATATCTCTCTCAGCGCTTTTCTTGTATTTTTGTTTAGTGCCGATAACTTTTTTAATTGCGTTGTATAATTTTATGAAAATGAAAGTGATCTTATAATTGGTGTATAAATATTTTGAGTCTATAATGAATACTTCAACTTATTCACTGACTCTGAATGGAACTACCGAGGAAACAAATATTTATTCATATCCCGAAGACACATTTAACGGTACTGCCGATTGAACATTGTTTCGCGGCATCATCATCGTGATAGGAGCCGAAATAGCAGTCGCAAGCAGCGTACATCACAAAAAACCGAAGAAGTAGTACAAGTTCTGGGATTGCCACCAGCTGGCTATGAACCTTTGACGCCAAAGGAATATAAAGCACTACAAGCTGATTCTGTCTTCAAACTCTTACCTAATCAAATTTTACTTCATTATAACAATAGCAACAAACGATTCATAGCAAATATCGATTTGTTTTCATGAAATATTAGCAAACTATCATCCATCATAGAGGTATCGGGAGAGCGGTCACCAATTACCATCTAACATTTTCAACTTGATACATTCGCTAGTACTTAAATCTTGATATTTCAAGCAAATTTCCGCTCCCTGTTCTCTCCTTTTCTCGTCCTTCTCTCCGTCTCTCTATCTCTGCCTTTTCTCTCTACAAGATACTCCGTTGAGAATTTAGTTTATTTTCGCTTTTCCTTAGTGTTACTTATTTCATTTGATAAGAATGTGAATGTTTCTGGCCACCCCTTCCAACATTCTCTCTCTCTCTTCTCATCTCTCATTAATTATCACAACACAAAAAGTCACCCAAATATCACTTTATAACACTCTCACGCATATAACATATTGTTCCATACAATCATTTATGGCTTTCCGTGAATCTCACCATCTTCTGACAGTTGCGTATCAGACATTATGCGTAACACATATAATACGCATATAGAGACAGACAGACACACAGACAAATACACAGAAATGCGTGGTCAAGTGGATGTCATTTAGATTTATGAGGTAATTGTAATGATGTCCTGAGAGTAACTTTTGTTTTCTTTTTAAATTTGCTGTCAATAAGGACATTTTCCCTTCATGAGATAGAGCTTTATTCATATCATCTATTTGTTGCTTATCGCAAATTCATTTCAATTTTTTCTGACAACATTTCACCACTCTATCGATTCGCCGATCGATAAGTTCATTAAATAACAGAGTTATATTTATATATAAGGTAACTAGCATAAAGCAAATTCATCTTTAACGATGGTTTACTAATATATTTTGAAGTTATTGATTCAATCGAAAGGAAATTGTTTCATATAAAATGCGTAAGTTTCACGTCGCTATGTGTGTGTGTGTGTTTAGCATTTTGAAGGAAAACAAATCTTACTAATATTAATGATTTCAGGCATTACTTTTTTGGCGCATTTTTTCTCTAGCTTCTTCACATCTATCTAACTATCTAAAATTCACTAGTTGTTGATGCTTCTTCACAGAAATACGATTTTTAAAATTCAACAAGACGAGGCTCATACTTACTGCAATTGATTGCTCCAACCTCCAACCATTTCCACTAATTTCTATTAGACTGTTTTGAAGGTTAATGTGTGAGAAAATAGAATGGAAATGAAATGTTTGTTGAAACGAGGAGAAAAAAATGATAAAGTTTGATGAATACTGATTTAAGCATTTATTTCATCCGATCTGATTAATTAAAATACAATGAATGAAGATGATATTGTTTGAAACAAGCAGGCTGTTGTTTATTGAAAAAACATTTTCAGCTTGTTAAGCTTTTCTTTTTCATCTTCGCCATATTCATTTTAAGTGGAGAAATTTTTTGAATTAATAGTTATTTGAACAATTTATGACTTTGATTGAAAAAAAATCCAAAATCATCAGAGTGGAGAACATCGGATTTTAGTGTGATTTTATTCGTAATGTTTCAGTGCAGATCGGAAAATTCTGAATATCATGTTAATGTTTATTTCTTCTCCTGTGTTGTCTTAGCATCATATGGTGATACGAGGAATAATACTTTCGCTGTTCATACCAAAATAAAATGTTGAGAGTTCAATCTATAGTTGTTTTGCCTACAACGGGGCAACTATTCCGTTTTTGATGACATTTTTAATATTTAAATTTTGAAATTCAAATTTGCAGATTACATTTCGAACTGGAAAATGGTTGCATTGCTATCAGTTTTTGCCGTATGGCTGACATTCTTTTCCATTTGCTTCACATTTTTGCCAATGCAAGTAATTTTTAAACTTTGATTGTTCAAAATTATCTGAAATTACCCATTACCTATACCGACATTAATTATCATTTATCATTTGATTGGTACTTGTAATTTCGACACTGAACTTCCATAATAATTATACTACCATATTATTCCGTTACAAAATTATATTTCATTATTGTATACCAAATTTATTATTTGAAGCAAAAAAGTATGTGATATGAATATGTAATGTAACATAAGTTAACGATTCAAATTTTAGGTTTCAAGTATTAAATTGGAGAGAACGTGGTAGTGCTGATGGCTTCTCATCAATTAATCTTGTTTTACCTGTCCTGATGTAAGTCCTTCGATCTTTTTGTTTTTTTAAATATCAATTCTTGATCGCATTACAGCAATCTTTATGATTTTCTGATCAGTAAAGCTCATAGTTCATTTTCTTTTTTATGTGACATACTGTCAAAGTGACCTCATTCTTCGCACTTATTGATATTACTACTGATCATTTTTCATCTTTTTCCGCCGTAACACTATTAGCTTCATACAGACAAACGCGCATTATCTTTCTGAAAACTAATCTATTTTTAAGTGCGAAATATCCCCCAGTTATAAATTACAAATTACTCAGAATTATTTCCGAAGATGATGTGAATGTGAAGATGATGAAATTACAATTTCAGGATGAGTTGTTGGTTACGACATGGGTACATGACGAATGATTTCACGAATATTTTTATTAATACAGTAAATTTGGTCGTCTTTACTGGTTATATCCTCGCATTTGCTTTTTATCAGCCATGTCGGGTTAATGTTTCATTGCTTTGTTATATCGCTTCCACAATACTTATCTTTGAGAAACAAACAATTCCGAGTTTCGAATTACACTTGTTCTATTCGAATTCTATACTGTTATTTTAGTTAGGTCATCAATACTTCCTTGAAACTTTACAATTGAAAAGATTCAAAATCGGCGAAATATTTGAAGAACGTTTAAAGGAATTTTGTTTCAACTCTTAATTTTATTGCATTTTTGCTTCAGCGTTATTTATGCCTCCAACTTTTTGCACTATTTTTCTTCCTGTTTTGCATTTTTTCTTACGTCAGCTGGCAACCGGATGACATATCCAGCGATGTGATGGGCAGTATTGCCGCTGCTATGCAAATTATCAGTTTAGGTGGACAAATCTATGAAATTGTATGCTTGCCATCTTTTGTGGATTTTGAGAAAAATCTCTAGTTAAAAGTTATTAATAACTCATATTTTTGAAATCTATAGTAAAAATGATGATGATAAAGTTAGCAGATCAGAGCTTCAGAATAGATAATTATATGTTAATGGCAGCGAGGATATCATACTTCAAGCATTCCTGGTTGTTCTTATGAAATTTCTGTGGTATCACTGAACATCATGTGAGATACCGATAGACTTTACTTAGAGTTTCAGTATGTTTTAGGTTACAAAAAAATTTTTTTATGATACTCATTGTGATCAATTAGTAAGGCATTTAGTAAAGAAGCACAATAATGAGGAAAAAAAAATGGAAACTTTGTCCGTCGATATTGACCTTTGTCCCTGAATCTTCACTACATAAATCGCAGAATAAATGATATTTTTGTTTTCTTAGAAACGGGCAATATCGTTTGGCCATACGGAGTTTATTCCGGCTGAACTGCAATTTGGAATCTTTCTGTCGGCAATACAGTGGACAATTTTTGGTATTCTGATTGAAAATTATTACATTGCTGTAAGCATAAATATTTTCTAGAAATTAATACATTTAGAAATCTATAGGAATCCTAAAACAGGATCAAGTGAAAAGATCAACACAAGTGCGAAACGATTATGGCAGTTCTTTCTAGAAACTGATAATGCCATATTTGTTTTCTTCTTGAAATTAATTATATTTTATTTCGGAAAGAAAGAATTTTTTCTTATAGGTTGCTAACTTTGCCGGACTTCTTGTAAATATTGCAACGATATCATTGTACTTTATCTATCCACCGCTGACCTGGAAAGTTCCAATTATTGGTACCGGTCCACAGCAGAAGAAAACGGAATAACAAATATTCAGCTCTTCAGGAGAAGCGCTTTCAAAAAAATTAGCTTGCTTTAAAATCCATTTCGTTAGAAATTTTCCATAATTATTTCCGATATCGAGTATTCATTTTTCGGAATTTTTCATTAAAATAAAGTACCATGCCTTCATTATTAAAAAAAGTACTCAGAGATTCACTGCTTATGCTTCGATTAATAAACATCAATAATGAGTCATATAGTAGTATCTTAGTAATTACTGTATTCTGTGAAAGCTGGAAGAACTTGCAAATACTTTCGACTTTTCATCTGAACATCAATAATTTTTTTCCTTATGCATTTTCCATCTCTCTTTTGTTATATGATTTCGTACCCTCAAACATGAGATTGAATTCGATATAGCCGTGGTCGCAGCTTATTTACTCATTTATTAATAAATATGAAAAATGATAGGTAAACAAGCAATTCTGTAGTACGAAAATTTATTGTATACTTTTATAAATTCAAAAAAGATAAATTATATATTATTTAGGGTTTTAATTATTGGTAGGAAATGGGATTTGTACATAATTGCTTATTTCAGATTGTCATAAATATGAATGAAAGAATGATTTATTGGAGGATAGAATATTTTCTAATTGAGTTCAAGCATTTAAAAATGGGGAAGATCGTTGGCTAATTCATAAAGAAGTTCTTTATGACCCACATTTTGCATTTCACTAAATCTACGGCGATACAAAAAACATGTTCGTATGTAAAAGTTTTGCAAGGAATATGTATCGGTCGAAGCATTATTAATTTTATCTGCAATATGTAATTTTAAGCAGATAGAAAAAGAAATTTAAGAGTGCCAATGTATTGATCTCTTTTGACCGTTATCTTAGCTGTTATCACGAATGTTTTTCGGATGATTGAAGAGGAATTTAAAAAGCTTCAAAGAAAAGTCACATATTCTACAATTACCAATAAAATTTCATTTATTGAATTATACTCATGGTTCTAGCAATGAATTTGCTGGTATTTTGATATTATCAGTTCTAATCATATCCTTTTTATTCAGCTATTAAAATGTTACATCTTATGTATCAGCTTTACATAAACGACATGATGCACCTATCATATTAAATCATGAGTATACCAAAAATAAAACATAAGTGATTGTAAACGAAGAGTCTGAGTATGTTGCAACGTTTGCCCTTACAGTAGTCGATGTAGAAGCCATAAAATTGCTACACGTTTTGTAATGATTCCTTGGACATCTGAATCACTTTGACAGCTTCTAGTTTTGTACAATTCATCCACTGATCCAAACATTCTCAAAGAAATATAAAATTTCGAAATGACATTCCCAAATAACATAATTGTGTTTTCCATTGCTGCTTACGAAGAGGAGCGCAATTTATTGATTTCAAGCTAAAAATTTTATTACCAGCCCAGTATGGTATTCGCACATTGTTAATTCAAATTGGGAACACGTTATTACAAAAAAAGTCAATAAAAAATTTTTAAAATAATTTGTTCTCAAAAAAAACTTCCTCTAATATCTCTCTGTTCAGTTCAAGTGCTCTCATCAAAAATTCTGAATATAAACTGCTGTTAAAGTTTACTTTGACTTTGATTGATATGAATATATAACTACTTTGATAGACAGTTTACTGTAACTGGAATAATTTTCAATTACAATTACTTAACTTTCATTCCAATTGCTTAAGAGAAATGCTATAAATCCAGGAAGAAAGTTGTATAACAGAAAGAAATAAGTGCTAGCAAAATAAGTGCTGTTTCAAAGTTTAGAAGAAATTAAATGAATGAATGCCTTCAATTGGAGCAGCAATTGAGATATTAACGTCCGGATTATATAGACAAGTTTTAGGACAGTATTTCCTAATCTCATCCTGGGAGCAGATATTAATTACGTAACATTGCAAGAAATGGATTCATCCTTGCATTCTGAAACAGTATTAAATTCTTCTATCAATTTTGATTTCTTTTACATAACCTTTCGCCAAACCGATAAAATTTAATTTTCAGAGATTTGTTGAATATTTACTGCGAAATCTAAATAACCGAAAGTTGATCCATTTACCAATAGATTTTTATAATCGACAACTGCTGCAACTATCATTCGCTGAAATTAAGTACCGATGTCCTTCACAAAAAAGCAGTATTTATACCTAATGGATTTCAAGTGACCTTTTTCCGGAAATATGACATATCAGAAAGAAAAGTCATTGTAATAAGGCTATAGTCCATTTCACTTAGTAATTATGTGGCAGAAATGCTGTGAATTCGTATGTGGTAAATTATTATAGAAGAGGATAGGAAGAAAGTTTGTCCGTTCATATCAAAATTTTGAAGAAATCAAACCTTTTGCATTATAGCAGGCAAAGTATATGAGTGATGATATAATAAATTCTGCCCGCGCAGAACATTTTCTACAACTTGCGAAAAAAGAGAGGAAATTTACTTAATATTCATTACACATTCTTATAACATCTCTCTCTCAACCATCGATAATTATTATTACTTTTGATTGTTTCTTTATTATCTTCGAATGCCATTTGTATTGCTTCAATCATATCCTAAATATTTGTCATCGTTCAAAAGTATATGTGTATGTGTCAATATGTGATTCAGCTGCTCAAAAAATACATTCATACAGAATGATTTTATATAGGTCATAGAATAGAAAGCATAGAATGATATAGTAGAAATCCTTCAAATATTTTGTAGAAATAAAATCAGAAAGTTCTCGAATGATAGGATGAAAGCAAAAAAAAAAACTTAATTAATACTGAAATACTGATAATAATACTGATGATATACTGATAATAATACTGAAAAAGTATCGTTAAATTATGACTTTCTTTGTTAATGAGTTAATATATCCATTATTATTTTGAAAAGAGAAAGATTAAGATAAATGAAAAGCATTAAATTAGAATGAATGTCAACAACTGATTCTTCAACAATTAATTTATTTCAATTGTTCGATTTTTAGAAAGCTCATAAAATGAGTGAAAATTGTTGAAAAGGAAAGAGGGATGAGCATTCTCTCTCCTCCAATATCAACCAAACATTTATTTAGTCTTAGCAAATAAATTCTTAATTGACTTCATCGATTTTGAAAATTTCCAACAGTATTGGACTATCGGTCTGTCTGTTATTCAGCAAATCTGCTGTTTAGCAAACAAAAATTTTGAGCAAATCATCATAACTTTAGAAATTTCAAAATATATTTCACGTAGTACATGTACGAGTGACTTCTGATATTTTGAAGTTATCAATTATTCCACGAAGTTGTGTTATCTGCAGATTATCAGTATGTCATGATAGTCATATTGGGCAAGAAACATTCATTATAGTTTAAATTTTTTTTATCGAAATGCATAATGAAAATGTGAGTAAGAGTAAATGAGGAGATTCTTAATTTCCGACAGCTTTTATTTGAATATTCTTAAATTTAAGCTTTCTTTAGCGAAAGTTTAATTGAAATCTATCTATAAACAATGTGAGAGGAAATTTTTTAAGTTAAAATGTAAAGAATAAAATTTGAAATGTGCTGTAAAATGATGAATGGCATTTGAACGACAAATTTAAAAGTCATATTGACTGGTCAGTGCAGTGCTAACTAAGCACAACTTATTGCTTACATAGTTAACATAAGTTAATAGAGAATTACCTATAAATTTTGAAAATAACTTTAAATTTATAATGATCATCAAATCAATCCATCAATTAACCTATTTTTATGTATTAATTAACATCAGATTAATTGTAATACTTTGTGATCTTTAATCGGTTGGCAAAACAAATTCGAAATAATTTAATTCATTTGCAATATAAACAATATTTAGCAATAATTCGTCTATCCTTTAACTTGGATATTTTATAAAGAAAAAAAAAAGATAATAAATTGAAAATTGAAGCAAAATTTAGATGTTTAGTTTTAATTTTTATTTCATCCAATTCATCTAATTTGTTATTCAAAAGTTCAATGTGTAACAGTTCAATGAATAGCTAAGGTTCACATCATACTAAGAATATATATATCAATTAATAAAATGATCGTTGATCCACTAATTTATTCAGCTGTATAATTGCAAATTTTATGAATGTCGTGAACATTTACAAATGATTACGAAGACCTGATGGAATTGCAACATTGCAACTATAAATGAGTGAGTATTCATTCTATGATGATTCTAATGTGATGAATGATAGAGTACGAGATCAATAAGATAATATTACATCATTACAAATAACATGCTTCTTATATGTTAAACATTCTTATTTACCTTGCATATTACATTTATACAGAAATATTATATTTACAACAACAACAACAACAACAACAACAACAAAAAAGTGACAAATTTACATGGATATCATAGCATTCATGCAAGAAATTTATAACTAATAAACAAACTCTTTTTTTTGTAAAGCAAAAAAAAATACGACGTTTAAATTTTTAAAAGGGAAAATACGCTTGAATAAGAAGCATTATTGCAGCAGAAAAGATAAAGTAAAATAAGGAGAAGGAATAGAAATAGTTTCGATGATGAAGATAATATCATCATCGAAAAATCTAGACAAATAATCGACAAATGAAATGAAGCGAAGAGTTTGTACATCGTCTCAATAAACTTCAAATAATTTCAGAAGCGGATAATAAATATTATAAAGATGGGAATTTTCGGCATATAAGAAAATTTTACTCCAAAATGTCTTGTTATTTTTTGGAACAAATGGATCTTAGTTAAATATTCTTTGATGAAAGAAATAAAAACAACAAGTTATCATCTACCTCATTGGGAAATATTATATTACACATTGATTTGAAATAAAGTAAACTAGATTTATCGATTAAAATTCTTGAATATTTAATAAATAATTTAAAATTCATTCATTTTCCATTCTCATTGAATACTTCTTTTTCATATCAAATTTCCACGTGTAGTTGTGAGTGAATATTTTTTAATTTGTTGAATTTTTATTTGTTTTAGTTAATGAATTTGATTTTTTGCTAATTTTTCATTTCGATACTTTCGGCTTTATTATTTTTTGCTACAATTTTTTTTCTAATTTAAATTCACTTTTCGTTCAATTTTTATGGTTATATGTTATCATTACAGAAGCAATATTAATAGAAATCAGATATAATATATCTGACTTCTTGATCCATCCGTTTTTCTTTTTTTTTGCTATGATTACATAAAATTAATTACAATTGAATTGTCTAACTTTAAGATCAACGATTTCTTCTTCAATCGTCTAACTTTAAAATTAATGAAAAAGACGAAATCAGTTAAATGACTGTTCCGTTTTTATTTTTTCATTTGGCCCATAATCAGTTAATAAGAGATCTTTTGCGAAGTAAAATACAGCAATATCAGGTATTGATGATACTAATCTGTAATAAGTCAATCATACGTTGTTAAGGTTATAATACAACATTATAAAGCATTAAAACAAAATTATTTCAACGAATGATATACGAAGAAAAAAATATTAAATTTTATTCGTATTTTAAGTATACCGTATTGTTATTGCAAAAAATTCTTCCAATATGAATTAAAGTAGGAAGTTATCGTTGTTTATGAAGAAGAATTTTTATCCATTAAAGTTTTGTTAAACGACAAACTACTGGAAGTTGATATTGGAATTAATTTAAAAGCATACCTTATTATGCCATAAGTTAAATGAGTTGTAAGTCGCAATTTATCACTATCATATAATTCACAAGCACCCCACGATCTCTCTACGCATGCTGTATTCCACATAACACAACCTTTATCGATGATCCAGCCCCAAAAAACGGATGATGGTAGTGTTGCTATAAGAGAAATTATCAGATAGAATAGAAATGATGATTGTTATTATTTTCAACTTTACAAAACTGGACTCTTTAACTTCTCCTAAGAAGATATCTTTTAATTTTCCTGGAAAAAAAAATACACTTCTATAAGAATGTTATCATTGAGTTTAATTTCGGAAATGTTTACTTCACTTATGTTAATTTGTAAATAGCACAGTAATAAATGAAATTAGCTTTGGGTCTCAATAAAAAATTGTAATGAACAAACAGACCGATTAAACTGACAAGAAATCCTTGGAAGCCAAGAGAAATGCTTCGATTCACTGGTGATACCGATCTTAACAACCTCATGTTGAAAATGCATATAATTTAAATGACTAAAGAGCTAAGAGAGTTAGCTATTCATTGGAACCAAAAGATATCGATAAAATCGTATCCCAAATACTGTCAATCATTGGGGAGGCGGAAAGTTGAAAAATAAGGATTGAGAGATTTAGCCGATAAGTTTATTTACTTGGAATTATCGATGAAAAAAATTTAGAACTAATTTTAGGAAAAAAAAAACTTGCTTAATGAATTACAACTATAGCTAGCACATTTGAATAGGATTAAAAATGAAATTTTACAAATTGCACTGATCGAAAATTCAGCATCGAAAATTCTTCCGTTTACCCAAAAAATCAGCATTTAAACAAAAATGTATCCAGTGAATATAATATATAAAAGAAGAAGTATAGGTGTATAATAAATATCTCACCTGAGAACTATTAGTACTGCTGGGATAATGCTCATCCCACTAAAGATACCCGAAAATGCCAAATTCACAAAGTACCAAGCGAATTGTTGCTCACAAACGCTTTGATCACAGAAATCACGTGAAACTTTATTATCCGTGCTATTCGAGCAACTACAATTTTGGAAGATCTAAAAGTATACATTGGAAAATATGTTATTAATGGATATAATCAAATGCTATAAATTGGATACGAGCTTTTAAATTAGAAATCATTTATAATTATCAAATAAATTTTGATTAAAATTTATTTGACTAGAAAAAAAAGAATAGCTGGTTATTCAAATAATACTTTGAAATGATAAAAGTCCAGTTCTCCAAATGTTGTTCTTCATATTAGTTAAACTTTTACTACTGTATTATTCTGTGACATTCATACAGTTAGCACAAATTGACTAAAAATTATTTTTGAATTTCTATTGAAATTTAAACGAGCACAAAAATTGAAATATTTTAGTGGAACAGGAAGGATATATTCTTAGTCTTAGTTTATCATTTTAAACAGAAAATTTAGGAAAGGATACTTTGCCATTTGAAAGATTGGAAAAAGTTTGGTCTAAGGAACAGCCAGCATGGCAAGGGGAATAAAATGGTTGGCTTTCTCGATTACAGACTGGATATAATGGTATACCGATGCAATCACAACCACTGTTACATATTGTCGTAAAATTTTGATTGGTCAATCTGATGAAAATGAAATAAATATTTATTTCATCAAGAATAGAAAATTCTTATGTGAAAAAAGAAAAAACAAAAATTCATTTTTGAAATGAAACTTTTAATTTTACATACCAAAGAAGAAATGGAAATATAATTGCATAAAATTATAATGATTAAACATTTACTTAGCCTCATCACTAATTAAACTAAGTATTGATTTGCAACCAATTATTGCATTATGAAGAGAAAATAAAGTAGCAATCAATGAGCATACAAGAATATATGCTGCTGCTTTCCGACCTGAAAAACAATAACTAATATAGTATATATTTAAATGCCAATTTAATTTCAATAATTGAACATTTCTAATGAATCAAAATACTTCACCTAAAATTCTCTATTATTATTATTATTATTAGGAAGTTAAATTAAATGAAAGCTTTAATATTTTTTTGTTCTTTTTCTATTATTTTATTAAACTGAACACTGAACAGAATTCAAATGTTAGAATTAATTTAAAAACGGATACATGCATTGAATGTTCTCTCTTTTACCTTGCAATCTGAATTTTCGCATTATAAAACCACCAATAAATAAACCAATAGCAAATCCTGGTAAACTCGTTAATCCTGCAATATAAAATGGTATTTTTCAAACTAGCAAAAATTCATTATAATGAAGAGGTTTGATTAAAAGGATCATTAATTATCAATCTATTATTTTGTTACTTCCCATTTTGTAAGGTTAATTATTGACGAGTAATTTAGTAGAATATGTTTTCTTATCGATTTTTGATCACAATTAATGCTACTACTGTTCATTTTAAATTTAGTCAAATAAATAATGGTAATAAATAGCAATAAAATAATCAAAGAAAAAGAGAAGAAAACTTTTTCAACATATATTATTATTATTATTATTATGAAAGTTCTAAAATGCAACATATTATTTTAAAATGAGCAGAAAGAAACAAACCTAAAAAAAGATTAATTTTATGCTGTGGTAAGCCGAATTGTACTGCTAAATATTTTGGAAGGAAAGTGAAAAATCCTTTAAATGCAAAAACATCTATTATACGACCAATCATTGAAAAAACAAATATTGGTGATTTCATGATTACCTGTACGGTTGAAATAAAATCTGAAAAAATTAAATGAAAGTATAATTTTGTTGTTTCAACTTTATCATTCAATATCTCCTTTCCTTTCCTTTCCACATGGTATATTTATAATATTTACTTTGAAAAATTAGACCAGAATATATTATTTTGTCACTTATAGCTAGAAACCAAAATAAAATTTCCGTCTAATCTCATCGAATTTCTTCAATATGTTCTCATTAACCAATACCTATAAAATTTTTTACACTTTCTGAAGATAAGATTCATAAGACATTATTACAATATAAAATGATAATGATATATATAAATAATGAAATGCTGCTTGACAACGGTAACTTATGTTTGAATCAATTGACTTCTAAATTCAATGCTTTTACAGTTAACATTAAATTGTATTCAACTTGTAATTTACCGGGAAACTATTATAATGTGGCATGAATAATTCCTCTTACCAATGATTTTTGCTTTTACAGAAGTTGGCACGACGATATTGCCTGCTTCATTTCTTGCAGCATATCGATCAATTAGCGCCAAACCTTTGTACCGTAATTTTTCTCCTACTTTAACCCTATAATGACATACGTTATTATTGAAAAATTAATAACTTTTTAGTGAATTTTTATTTCAGCAATAAATATTCTAATATAAATGGTTGAAAGAAGAAAATGATTACCTTTCATTTGCCAATGATTGAATTTCAGAAGGTATATGATCGTTCAAATTATTCTTTGCAACACTCTAATATATTCTATTTTAATTAAATTATACTTCCATAAATAATAATAAGAGAAATAGATAGCAAGAAAAGAGTATTAGTGACAATTGACTATGATCGATTTTATTGTAGTTTGCAAAATTTACATTTGAATTTCTGCGCTAGTTACGTCAGCCTACATTATTTATTCATTACGCACAATTAACGTAGTAGCTAAATGTATTCTAATTAAAAATTGAAACTTACATAATATTCTTCATCTAAATCATTGAATTTGTTGTAATTGACACATGTCGGATACAAATATAAAGTTAACGATGGACAAAGCATTACAATACCAATACCGAGAAAGCCTGCCCACCAGCGCCCAATCCATGATGGATCCCGAGATGTTAATCCAGCTGGTACTAAAAAGTTTGATCATTTTTTTTTTGAATTTAAACTATTAGTGATATTGCAGTTAAATGTAAAAGTATATAAAATGACTACTAATAAAGTGAATGCTAATTGAAATGAAATTAACAGCTTCATGATGAAAAGATATAATTCATTCATCCATGTAAATTTGAATTGCAATAAAAGTCAAAAATAAGCAACATCATTTAAATTTCAGTAAGATTGATTAGTCCTTGAATAGCATCAACTAAATCAAAAGCACGCACTTCTAACAAATGCTATTTACAGTATTACCGAATAGTTTATCATATCTATTAAAAGATTGTATAATTAGAGATTGTCTTATGTGACTGATTGAAGAAGATATTGATAATATAGAAATTTTAAATAATCTTTATCAATAATGTTTACTACTTACTATCGAAGCTGTAATAGTAGTTGTTAACAATACTACCAATTAAAAAACCAAGAAATGGCCCGAGAATACGAATGAAAACCATGCCAGCTGAAAGATGAAGAAGCTAAAAGATACCATATATAAAAATATATGTACTATTTTCTTAACCATTCATTCTATGAAGCATTTTTTAATTTTACTTCAATTTATCAATTCTCAGCAAAAATTATACTTAATTATTATTATTTCACATTTTTTTTGTTTTATTGATAAATAATGAAATGTAATAATTTTTGTGAATAGAAAATAGTAAATGAAAACCAAAATAAAGTGGTAAATTGTGTCGTTTCACATTATCGTCAATTAAAGGAAGGCCAAGTGAGTAAGGCATCGTTCGGCCAATGCCAAGGATAAGTAAGCCAGTAAATATTGTAATAAACGGTCCCACATTTGATGATCCACTTAAACAACGAACCTTATTCATCTGCAAAATTAACAAATGAACAAATTCAAAAACTTTACTCATATTTATTTGTTAGAAAAGCAATATAGTGTACTGATTGATTACTCATTCATTTAGCTGAGAATTAAGTGAACAATGAGTGAATGATATTAAAATATTGTTGTGATTTTTTAAAATTCCTTCCCCACTCTTATGATGATAATATATCTATCATCATCAAATAATAATGATGATGATGATGATGATGAATGTATGGTGTATGTATTTAATTAAATCTATACCAAATAATTAATTAAAATTATTTTTGTTTCCTTTATTTAATATTTCAAAAACAAAGCAAAACTATTTCCTCTCTTATCAATATGCAAAATTTCTGTTAATCGAATAAAATAAAATAATCGATTGGAATGATAGAGTGATGTTTGCTTTGTATTAAATTAAAAATTGTTGAATTTTCATCTTCTTTTCCCCACAATTTTCTTCACACAAAAAACATTATTATTATTATTACGCAACGCACGTGTGTTATACATTATACGTACGTTTAATTCAATTGAAAATGCAAGAAGACGTACTTTCTGTTTAAGTGCATTGAACATTGTGTTGCAAAAAGAAAATGGTGAGCTTATCAAAATGTGCATTTTTGAAATTTCTGTCACATTAGGTTGATTTAATCGTTGCGAGAAATTCTAAAATTAATGAATTTTAAATTATAGTAGCTATTAAATTTAACAATAGATAATTGAAAAGTTAATTGAATTATCAGATAGTTGTAGAGCGCTTTCAAAATCTGATCTAACTGAAGTAATCAAAAATTACTTATCTAATAGTTGCTTGGAATAAATCTTAACTTATTTATATATAAATAAGAACTATTCGTTTTCGTTTATTATAGTTAGTTAATGTCATTTGGTCATAGTTGCCCTGCCATAGTTAAAGCTAATAAAAGTAATTCTAATAAATTAACTGCAATTTCCTTTTTGAAACTTTAATTCTAGCAGATTTTTCTTACAAATAACATTTTTATGTCTAATTAATTAATATTAATTAGTTTCAAAAACTGTTTATCAATTATAAAGAATTCAAGAAAATATTCTCACATTTTGAAGCAATATATTTTTATAAATTAAACTAATTGATGGTTATACTAAAATTAAAGATGAATAAGTTATTCAAAAAAAATCAATAAATAAAACGGAAATTTTGTAAAAGATATCTATCTGATAATGTTAGAATTTTTTTTAATTGAAACAATGCATGGTTGAATATAATAAATTTGGCTAAATGATATAGAGCGTTCAAATGAAAAATGTTTAAAATTTCAAGTACTTAAATGATTACCGTAATAACTCCATAGAGAAGCACAACTGAGAGAATTAAATGCATC